ATTGAACTTCAAACAAACAAACACACAAACTTTCACATTTATAACATTAGTATGATTAGTATGATAGTAAGATTATAATAATATTTGTTGATCAGAGAAAGTCCATCTTACATTTTTTTATTTTCTCCAAAAGAGTTCTGGCCCCAAGAGTCTTCCGCCCTTGAGCGATTGCTCCACTCGCTTCACAGTTGCTACACCACTGAATGCAGTGCTTTTGATAATAAAGAGCTAAGATATTTTGTAAACAGTGAGATGATACGACAGCAAATATTGTCAAACATTTGGATGATTTATTGAAAATGAAGAGGAAATTGCAATAAGACAAAAAGTAATTATGTTTATTATGGTTTTTTCACATAGGTAGCTGTGGATTAAATCAGTTCTGCTGGAAGGCTATGTCTATTGTCTATTGTCCATACATCTATCTACTATCTTATGAGATGAGGATCAGTACTAAGGTGTATTTTACCCCAATATGATTGGAGGATAAAAATTATGGACCAGTGAAATTATCAATTATCAATCAATTATCAATTATCAATCATTGAGATGGGGACGCCACCTAGGTGCGTATTTTAACCCAAATATGAGTGAAGGATGAGTGTAGAATGGTGTGAGATGATCTGTGTAGCTTTGTTCTGACTATAAGATCAGCTGTTTCATTCATTTATTTAAAGCCCAATGATCAGGAACAGCTGGGTCAGAGTTTCGAACCATCAAAAAGGTACTGACTTTTCAGTACCTTATGATAAAATCTTAAATACAGGTGTACCTTATGTGTGGCCATTGACTATTGGATATTGAAGTAGACATCCCAGCTGTTGCCAAATGTTATTAAAAAAGAACATATTTGCGTGAGACAGTCACAGAATACACTAGTGTCTAAACATTCTATTTTAGACCTTTTTTGGTCACTGACATAGTTTATGGATCATAATAGTTGCTATTGCTCACAATAACAATAAGTCGCTCCACCAGTTTGACTTGGTTACTAAAGTTCATGAAATCAGTAATTTTCATCAACACAATCTGTTGGTGGCTCACATCAACTACAAAGATTTTGATTTAATAACTGGCAACCCATGGATAAAACCATAGATAAAACATACTCCCTTAGTAGATTTCTCATCCTTATGGAACAGCTGAAGACAATTTTATTGTTAGTTCTGTACGGTTTATGTAGAGGTTGTGTTTTGTTTACAATTTGTTTCCCGTTATTACAGCCATTTAAAACCTCGTTTAACCAAATAATACGATCTAATCATAAACAATAACTTGTCCCCTAGTTATACAACCAAACAGTAAAGCACAAATCAAGAAATTAACCCTAAAATAATAGAAACAAAGTTTCGTGGACACTAGCGCCCATGTGTCACGTACATGAACTAGACACGAAAAACGTGCTTCAAAATTTACAATAGGATGAGAAGTCTACTTGTGTTGGTTAGTCTATGATAAAACATACTCCCTTATATGGAACAGATGAAGCCAATTTTATTGTTAGTTCTGTCCGGTGCACTGTAGAGGTTGTTTTTTGTTTACAATTTGTTTCTTGTTATTTCAGTCGTTTAAAACCTCGTTTAACCAAATAAAAATATCCAATCATAATAACTCATCCCCTAGTTAACTTATATAATCAAATTGTTGTCTTCCATTTTCCCTAATGAGTGGACAATGTATGTATTTTAAAGAATTCTAAGAAAGGAAATGTGATGAATGCTTGGGAAGAATTGTATATTTACAAGTAAAAATGTAAAAATAGAGAAGCTAATTAATGAACTAGGGAATTTAGACTCCAGTTGTACTTATAGAAACTTATTGGCCGGTAGTTCCGGTAGCCAATAGTATATAAGGGACAAAATTGAAATTCTTGTCATTCGCCTATTGGGTCTGATGATGATTGAAGTGTCGAATCGAAATCGATCACCAGTTACCAACTTTTAAGGCGGGTCCACACACAAGGATTTCGCGAACGTTTTATCTGTGCAGGTAAAACGTTGCAGTTAAGTCGTTGCAAAGAAATGCGTCCACAAGGTACTACAGGTTTCAGCACCAACTTTTAATGTAGTTGTGTGATAACTTTCAGTGTATGTGCATGTAATATCATGGAAGATGTGTTACTGGGGTCGATTTATGCAGCCAGGGTTACAAGAAAGCAAAGAAATAAGTCTGAGCGACGACGGCGCTCACTATGGTTACTAAAAAGACGTTGGTTACTAAAAAGACAACCAATTCCATAATAGTTTCTGTGTTCACATTCGAATCTACTGCTTTGTATTTTTTTAAGTCTCTAAGTCTTTTTCTTATCACAGTCACTATGTTCCTTACTCTTTATCATACTAATATTATAAATGTGAAAGTTTGTGTGTTTGTTTGTTTATTTGTTTGTTTGTTTGGTTGTTTGTTTGAAGTTCAATCACGCAATAACTACTGGTTGGATTGTGTTGAAATTTGGTATGATAATAGCTCACATGCCCGATTAACATATAGTGTTATTCTTACCTCAAAAATCCTTTTGGGCTCCGCCCCAGCGGCTCTGGAGTTTCCTGTGTTAATCTTTTGAGTATTCATATTTAAAAGGAATTAAATAATTTTGCCAGCTGTTTCAACTACACAATTTGTTTCTATGATACTAGCTGTAACCCGCGGGCTTTGCCCCGTTTAACTTCTTAATTTTCAAGATGATCTCGTTCGCATGGCTCAATCACGTCCTGGTTGAAGTTCGTTCGCTACGCTCACTCACCTTTAGGTTGGAGCTCGTTCGCTGCGCTCATTTGCCTTCAGGTTAGGTCGTTCGCTACGCTCACTTGCCTTCAGGTTAGCTCGTTCACTACGCTAACTCGCCTCCAGGTTGAAGTTCGTTCGCTATGCTCACTCACCTTTTGGTTGCAAATTAGCTGTTGTCATAAATGTAAAGGAAATAATAGTGCTGGACCCTGTTGGTAATCCTTGTAACTTTAATGCTTTTGAACATCATAGAACCATAGACAAAAAGAATTAAATATAGACCGTCAGCTGTGCTGCGGTTACCATAGGTTTTGGCGCACACCGCTTGGAGCACCACGGTAGTTACGGCGTACGCGCTACGTAAACTACAGCGGTGTGCGCCGGAACCTATTGTAACCATGGCAACCACAGCACGACTGACAGTCTATATTTCATTCTTTTTGTCTATGATAGAACAGAACCAACTTGTTTAATTGAAACAGCTGTTAAGATTCATTAATTCCATTTCTCATAAGGTTAACATGGGGAACTCCAGAGCCACTGGGGCGGAGCCGATTGGACGGATCACAAAATTGATGGTGTATAAACCTGTTCCATGAAATTCTACACGTATGTACCAAGTTTCGTGGCAATCGGTTCAGCGGTGTCTGAGTTTATCACTGCCAAATATATATATATATATATATATACAAACATCCTCTTTTATACTTATAGATTCAATACCATTAAAAGGTTATACGGGTTACCAACAGGGTGCAGCACCATTAGTTCTTTATACATTTATGACAACTAGCTAATTTGAACCAAGCAGCAACAAAAACCTGAGTGATGTGAGAACTTTACTTCTTTCTATTGTTTAGGTGAAGTAGTAGAACATTATGGCTATGGCTATGGTAGATGTGTATACCATAGATTATAGTAAACCAAATTTTCTCAAAACGTGTCCTCTCTCATTGCAAATGCAAAGCACGAGTATTTAACTACAATAAGCATTGCATACCAACCCCGTGCGAAGGACGGGTACTCAGCTAGTCCATAAATAAGGAAAACTTCTGTACAGTTCGATGAATTCAACAATAAAATCACGGGAACGTAGTTAAAAAACACGTTTGTACCTCTAACAGCATGTGAAGACAATACTGCATTCTGGGGTTTTAAGCGTGAAGACGGAGTTGAAACAGGACGGATGACAGTGTACACACGCAATGACTTGTCTGAAATCAAAAACGTTGTCAAAACTATGCTCTCCTCAATAGTTTTATCCATCTTCCGTCCCCTCGCAGTTCTGAAAAATGCACAGTTTTCTGACCACACGCAATGATTTGACTGCAACGTTTTATCTGCGCAGGTAGAGGGTACGACAAATCCTTGCGTGTGGACCAGCCTTTATATGTATTTACCGTCTTGTCAGTAAACAGTATAAGTGTAAATATATTATTAAAAGTGTTATTTGACATTTTTTTTTTACTTTCAGGTAATTTAATAACACGTACGATGCTGATCATGAAGTTACTCCTGTGATTTACCATTCTTCTCTTTTGAGTTCCAACTAAGGTTCCTCACCTCATTTAGCCTAATTGAAGAGTTTTATTCACAGACAGATCAGTTCCCAACAGCCTGATGACAATGGTGTGTCTGGCCACAATTGATGTTCAATGTGTCATCTTTGATATACAGTTATCATATTTACAACATATTTTATTATATCCAGGTATAAAACAATACATTGCAACAAATACCGATAATACTTCAACAAGTGTATAGCTCTTGGCTCAAGTTTTCATGAATTAATTCCAAAATGAATCAGGTTTGAAGTTCATTGTTGGTGGTGGTGAGTTTAATGTTGTTCAAAGGTTTAATGTGGACATTTTCCATCAAGCTGGTAAAAAACAATAAACAACGTTTCAGGATCTGTAATCTGATCCCGTCCTCAGGTGAAAAAAACTTAACTAACACATTACAACTGACAATACACAAAAACCCAACCTAAGTTGGAATACACTACAGAGAGTAGCAGTCAAGTACATACACTGTATAGCAGTCAAGTCATGATACAACATGCAAATAATAACCTACCACAAAAAAAAAATATCTATATAAGTCTATAAGATGTAGGGTATATAGCTCACACAATGGAACACTAGTCGCACTGTTTGCAATGACTCCACCAATGAGACAGAAACATTTTGTTTTTTTACCGTTGTGATGGAAAATGTCCGCAATAAACCTTTGAACAACTTCATCAGGTGCTTTAACGGTTCTGTTTGTTGCAGCTGTCCAAGTCCTCGCTGCAGTCCGTCAGTCAGCCTCGCCAGCGCCCCGTCTCTACCCCCACCCCAGGGTCTGAGGATGATGAAGTGCCGCAGTTTGACCCCAACAAGATCAGTCTCCAAGTACCAGATGAGTTGTTCGCTCCAGCGTTCAACTCAGTAAACAGCATCTCAACCATTCTTGGCAACCTTATTCAGGTACCTAAGGAATAGTAGTTTACGCAACGATTGGGTAAAGATAGTGTTAACGAAATGAGTAGAAATTTAAGAAACGAGCCTTGGCGAGTGCCTTAAAAACTTCTACGAGTGTCGTTAAGACTTATTTACCCAAGTTGTGTACATTACTTTATATGACAGTGTTTTAATTACTAACAATCACAACTCATAACTTCTAAGAGAGGTTATGTTTTATAACCTCTCATTGCCACTGACAGTGATGCAACCAATCATTCACTCATTAACAATTAAATAGGTCTGAACAGCTGATTAGTTCAAGCATTACAATTTTACCTCTCCTATCTCAATCCTTAAACCTCATTGGTCCTTTACCCCATATTGTTAAGTAAAACAACAATGCTGTTATAGTAGTTTACGCAACGATTGCGTAAAGATAGTGTTAACAAGAAAATTTAAGGTACGAGCCTTGGCGAGTGCCTTAAAAACTTCTACGAGTAAATATTGAGTGCCAAATATTTACTAAGCGAGCTGGTAATTTTTGTTTCAGAACACTGCTGAAAGGGTCGCCGGACTGGTCGAAAGGCTGAAGCCGCTTCTAAGATCTTCTCTGGGGTTCCGATCACGGAAAAGGGAAACAGAAGAAGACAAAGATACGGAAGACACAAATGACCTTGCAGACAACGAGACAACTTTTTTTACGGACTCTGACTCTTCAGCTAATGAAGTTCAGCAGTTAGCGGGAAGTGAAACACAAACTCAAACAGCTGCTTCAGCGGAAGAAGAGCTCAACAGCCCAATAAAGACTAGCTATGCTGCCTTGGCCAATAATAGATAACATACAAACGCATCTTCTGCAAACACCATTGCTCACTTTTATTTCTGTTACCAAGATTTGTACTAAATATTCTGACAGTGTGGTTGAAGTTAACCAGATTATTCATCTGTAGTATCTTTGTCATCAATCATAGTAAAGGTACCACTTTATATATGTAAATAATAATTTGTAAATGTAATATTCAAGATCAAAACTGGTTCCTTTGGAAAATCGTCATCTCATATCATTGCAAAAGTGTATCATCATAAGTGTTCATTTAGCTCCATTTATTTTATGCCATTATTTTGTCGTGCCAAAGTTTAAAATTAAATGGTTAAATTTATTTTATTTTATGCTGTGAATTATTGCAGTAAGAAATTATTATAACTACCAACCAAAGTAAAGTATTAATAATATGTAGATATGTTTTATGCATAGTGATTTTTTGAGAGTTGGGACTTCCTAACCCTGTAAAACCATAACAATTTGTATTACACCTTTTGAAGCTGACTCTAAGAAGTGAAATGTATATTCGTGGAGATTCTTAAGCAAAATTATAAATTTTTGGGAAAATAATTTACATAAAACTGAATGACCAGTAGGTGTGGTAACTATGTAAATTTCTTGATTATTAGTAAGTATGTTTGTTTTACCATTTCCCAATAAAATATTTACTTGACTATTTTGTACATGCTTGTAACTATTTCTTTCCTCTGATCATCATTCATCAAAGAACATTAAAAGTTTAAGATGAAACCCAACTTCATTCCTATTGTAACCCATAGACTTATTAATGTCTTATCAAGGAGAAACAGATCTGTTTTGCATCTTTGAAAATGATTTTGATAGTTTAGAATTGTTCTTTATTCAGAGGGAGTTCCTTTATTATTTACCACTTAGAGATTGCTATTTGGTTTTTATACTATTTGAAGTTCAAATTTACTGTGGTAGATCAATTATGGGTTGGAGTTTGATAATAATTTAAAATCTTTCCCACTAGATCAGCTCCTAAAAGTCAATAAAAAAATTCTCCGCACCTCAGAATTGCCTACTTGAACTAAAATTATGCACTGTCACAAAAAAACTAACTTAGATTGCAAAGAAAGTAGTTTTAAATGTGTGTATTTTCTTTTATGTGAGTAACGTTGGTGTTTTCTTTATTGCCCAGCCCCACTGGGCGAGAATAAATGTTTCATTTTTAAATACCAAACAGATAACAGGTCACTAATCAAAACACAATTATTACAAAACATGTATTTCAGCTAGGAACCCAGCGAGCCATATTTGCATGCTTTGGTACAAAACACGAACACACTTCAATGGTAACTGTAATAAATAATTTGGCGGGATGAGAGAGGATGAGATCTGTTATAACGACCAGATGGACCAGGTGTTGTTGTAGCGGCGGGGGTCCGATCGGACAGGGTCTGCGGGCTGGTTTGTCTGAGGTACGAGAGTCGCTCGGAAGTCCACCAAACGGTTGTAGAGAGCCTCGGTGACAAAGGTGTTCTGATAAGCGACGTCCGTAGTTTCACATGGGTCTCGCTCCAGGTCGAACAGACAAGGTCTCTTCCAACAGTTGAGTGTTGAGTTGTTGGCCGGTTGACAAGTGACGGTCGCAGTGGCCCGAAGGTTCAGGATTGTGAAGGAGCTGGCTGTCGGGTAGATAGTGCGGAGAGCCCGGTGAGACAGGCTGAGCAGAATTGCAGACACGTTGTACGTCGGGTTGGCCGGTGATCTGGTGTCTCGGTACGACCCGTCAAACTCATTGTTCTTGAAGCTACCTGTAGGTGAACAACACAGACATTAAGGAACTACTAAACTGCCTACACTCTGATGTTTAATAGTGGTTTCTAGTCAGTAAGTATTTTGTGATATTTCAGAAGGTTATTTTTATAAGATAAGATGAGATTTATATTATGCTGACACATCTCAGTGTGTATTTCAAGGCCAACAAATTTGAGATGAGTTTTGAATGAAGGAGATAACAGCTTTATTTCAAACTAAGTATCTTCAGTCAGGACCATTTAAAAGACCAATGATCACAAACAGCTGGGTTCAGTTTTGAACCATTAACAAGCTTCTAGCTTTTCAAATCGAACCATCAATCTTCTGATATCCACATGTACCATATTTCCACTCTCCAATTTCCATAAAGACGGCTCCAGACATGCGCCATTTGCCAAGCACGGCATGTTGACATTTTGCGATTTACTTGTCTTACTATACGCCAATTAACGAGTAGAAACATGTGTTATTTGCCAGCAACTATTAGTTTTTTGTTTGTTTCGAGAATAGCAAATTCATTCACTTTGATGAGTGCAAAAATATCGACAACGAACGGGAAAACACAAGCACGAATGTTTGCTGCTTGCCAAATAGACAAACACTTATCCACACTACTCGCGATTCGGCGAGTTGCTGCTTGGTGCTTGGCAAATGGGGTATGTTTGAAGCAGCCTTAGCAAAAGTATATCAATAATATAGTATCTTTGCTTATGTTTCCTTTCTTAAAACGAATCAATATCAAAATTGCATGTACAACGTATAACTAACACAAAGATTCCAATGATATGTCCTGAGTTCTACCATAAGAACATCATGGAAGCCATTAAGGATGCTTAGCTTGGTATGCATTGTGCAGGGCATATAAAATGTGCAACAAAAGTAATAATAAGATGTGTTTTGTGCCAGAATTAAAAATTGGACAATACCATTTTCACTTCATAACTCTAGATTATTATTCTATCTTTGCAGTGCTTTGGAGCAAAAGTTGATGATTCATGTTAGTACTTGGCAATATGAACGTCAGTGACTAAAAAGACTTTCTTTGATTTACAAGCCCTCAAATATCCTGGCCAGCAAACTTTTTTGATCCAAAGTGCTAAACATTTACAGGGGATTCTACAATCCGTACCATATACAATCTTCCAAGTCTGCTTGTAGAAGCTGCCTGGATTGTAGACAGCTATCAGACCAGCATTCTTGTCCTTCTCATTGATGTTTAGAAGAGTCTCGTTACGTACAGAGGGCAGACCCAGGGAAATGCTGTTCCACTGGTCTCTCCCATCCAGGTATGAGGGCAGTCTGGTGGTGAAACCTCCTGGAAGTCATCAGAAGATATCGTGAAATATTTTTTATATTGCAATTAATTACTGCAGTTGTACTATAAATGAAGACATAATGTGCCCATAACATTTTACCTAGGAATTTATTAATTTTCATTCCATTGCTCAATTTTTTTATATTACTGAAACTATATATAATAGAATCAAGACACAATGTTCATGACACACAATATAGGCACAGTTACAAAAATATGTAAATCCACTGTATTATGAAACTTCTCTGTAATACACTAGCATAAGACATTTTACTTTTAACTATCAAGTAGGTACCTAAGTAAACAATTCTCTTCTCCAACCAATCTAGAGAGAGGCAGGGAGCTTTCTTGGTTCAGGCATATTCTCGTGTAAGAATATATGAGTTACAACTTGTTTTTGTGAGCAACATCTTAGAAAAACTACATTAACAGGTTCGCTACTGCAATAGTACGAAATTTTTCATTCACATGACCCATTGATAGGGAATGACAAGATGACCAGCGACGCACATATGCGACGGCCGGTTTCTACCCATAGACTAACGTCGCATATATGCGTTTTTATCTTATAAAAACTACATTAAACCTCGTTTCTGAGTACTTAATTTTTCGAAAACCTTCAGAGGCAGCCCCCGACCCCTTCTTTTCTGAGCCATCCAGATCCTCCCTCTAGATGGCCCCTTGTCTGATACATATCACCACAGTCCTTCCCATCTTTACAATCTATCTTTTACATCTCATCGTTTATTGAGTTCACCCATTGACTACTGGATACTGAATTAGACATTCCATCTATATGGATCAACTGTAGCCAATTTTTTTACCAAAAAAGAACATACTTATGTGAGCTAGTCACAGAATGTGCCAGTGTCTGCAATTATATTTTCTACCTTGTTTTTTGTTGATGACAAATTGATGGGTTATAATACCTAGTTGATAGCTCATGATAAGTCATTCGGCTGAGTAGGGCCTAGCTATTCAAAAGAAGTTAGTAATTTATATCAGCACAATATATCAGTGGCTTACATCAACTACGGCAATTTTGATAAACAAGCCAATGGTTCAGGAGGTTGTTTGGCCATCAGCTTAAGAGACCTGGTACTATAACAGGCCCGGTCTGGTCAGGTTTTGGCTCCCTGTACTGAAATATTTTGATATCTTTTACACTTTGTTTACCTGCTGCTCTGTAGAGAGTAGGCAGCCAGTCAGTCATGTGGAGCATGCCATTGTACACCCTGGGGTTGCTTTGGAACTGCTTGGACCAAATAATTGTGGGACTCCTCACTCCACCCTCCCATAGAGTCTCCTTGGCCTGAGCATTTGAGCAAAGTTACCTTTGTTAAGAAATAGCGTTGGACACAACTCAAAATAATATGACTATGGTACTCTTTTTTAGGATAATGTATTGCGGAATATTACTTGACATATTAAGGAAATGTTTTTGAGAGAATTAGGTGATTCTTCCCAATATTGAACTGATATTGGGAATTCTTCTGGGTTTAGAGCACAGGACTTCTTTCTTGGAGACCTTTGTTTCAATCTTCTCAATTACCAATGACTTCTTAGCCATGTGATAATGACTTGGCCAGTGATTTGGAGCACACTTTAACTGTCAGTAAACCTGTCATGAACAGTAGAACCTCGATAACAAGTCTATCATGGGGATTATCAAATATGAATTGTAATCAAGGTTAACTTCTTTTTGTAATAAAATGTGATTGATGTGTAAAATAAAATCATAGACAAATAGAATAAATATAGCCTTTTAAAGGAAGGTTCCACGAAGTGCCGCTAGAGCGTGCTCAGTGTTTGTCGATTTGCTGCCGTTGTCGACCCACTGTCTGCTACCAGCACTACCACCCTTGCAAACGAAATGCTACCAACCCATCAGATCAACATTTCAATATGGGTAAAGTACAAAATTCTAAAATCTCAAAAAGCCCATTTTTTTATCCCCGGAAATTTTTTAAACACGGAAAAATAACGGAACAAATTCCTACTCTCCGGATCCCGGGGAATTCTCTAGAAGTTGGCAACCCTGGCTCCAACTACCATCTTGTCATGCCAATGCTCGCTAGCGCTTGATGCTGCAGCGGTGTGCGCCAAAACTAAACGGCACTCCTAGCGGTGGATGCCAGAATATATGCTAACTGCAGCACTGCGTTGGTCTATATTTAATTCTTTTGCCTATGATAAAATCAAGGGTATTTGAAAATGACACTTGTTATCAAGGTTCCTCTGTATTAAAAATATGTTTCAGGTAAAGGAGAACTGTCTCTGTTCTGGATATCACACAAAAAAACCAACTTTGCAGTTGTGCTGTAATTTATCTTACTTAAAGCCACAATCTGTAAAATACTCACCCCTTTAAGTGGATAGTTTGAACCCCAGTTGGGATAGAAATTTACAGTAGAATCAGAGATGAAATCTTTTGAAGGAGCTCCGTTGTCCGAGGTGAAGACAATTATGGTGTTGTCCAGCATGTACCTGGTCTGTAGTGCTGCAACCACACGGCCCACTGACTCATCCAGTTTGGCCACCATTGCTGCAATAAATATATAAACTTATAGCCATATAGGGATACGGATAACATAGGGCACATAATATATCAATAATAAATTATTAGCTTGTTGGTTTTTTATTAGCTTATTGATGGCTTACCTGCGTAGGTCCTGCGGTTAGGATCCTTGATGTGTTGGAACCTGTCCACAAATTCCTGTGGTGCCTCCAGATACTTGCCTCTGTTACCCGCGTGGACTGCAAGGTGGGCTAGGTACAAGAACAGCGGGGACTCCTGCCAAAACAATTAGATGTTTTCAGTTTTGTAAAAATAAAACAATTTGTGAAAAGATAGCAATCTAACAACCATATCATCTGCTTGTGGCTCCAGAAGTGAAAAAAAATCATCTGCTTGTGGCTCCAGAAGTGAAAAAAATCAGTGGATGGTGAACCATTTTAAAGACATAGTCCCTTCTATATTAGCTGGATTTATTTAACTGTCAACTCTTTTTACAGTTTACTTAATCTTTTTCGTTGTTATATTATATATAGTATGTTTTTGTAAAGTAGAGCTTTCACCTCTAAACTAGGCATTTGCTTTTTCAAATTTGCAGTACACCATAGAGGGAGACAGGATTATCTTTTGAAATTTATTGTTTGAAATATCTATCATAGAAATTTAACTAAATTAAATTGGGTAAATTTAGCGTTAATTTAGTTTTACTTATATATCACCAAACCTTGTTATGCTTCTGGATGATATCGACCGCCTCGTCAGTAAACAGATCCGTTGCATACTTGCCGCTGTACTCCCAGGCGGGAGCTGTGTCTCGGTGAAGATCAAAACCATTGTATTCTACACCACCGTACTGAAAATTTCAAAACACATGTAACACAGTACAAAATAAATTTTCTTCTAAAGTTAAAATTGGTTTGTTAACTACACATCTATCTGCCAAAAATCTGTATGGCCAACCTCTGTTTGGGATACAAAGCTAGTTCAGGATGTACAAAGCTATAGAAAACAATAAGTGGCCTTGTCAAAGGGGGCAACCTTGGGGTTTTTCATACACCACAAGAAAGGAACCTCCCTGGAAAATTTTGTATTTTAAAAGCTATTTGGTGACTTTCTCTAAAGCCATTTTAACATGTTAAACTGTATGATGTTTTTAAAACACAAGTTGAACTTAACTAGGATTTAGCAGTTTCTTAAAAAGAAATCCATAAAAAAACTGGCAAATAATATTGCAAAAACAATATACCTACATTTAATAGATATGAAACTAAATTTCCAAGATGTTTTAGCAACTCACATTATCCTGCAGGAGATAGTCGTAGTAGCTGGTGAAGCCGGCCCACATGCCCAGGTGTGACTGGAAACCTCTGTACACTGGCAGATACTCCTTCTTGTAGAAGCCGAGGTGCCACTTGCCTACAGCCCTGGTCACATAGCCTAGCTCCTGTAGGTACTCCGGCAGTAGACGGTAGGTCAGCGGCAGACCATTGGGCTCTCCTGCCAGAGTAGGCAGTCCTTGCATCCCTACGAGCACAGATGTATATAGAATGTATACTTGAGTGCAGCCGGATATTGGTGGCTAGGGATTAGATTTAGAGGTTGATAATCTAGTTTCAAGGTATCATGAGATAGTAGATTTTCAAAGATTAAACACAATTTAGGTGTTTTCTCATGGGGTGCATCGTTCATGTGCTGGGGCTGAGAATTTTAGACAATAGCACATTTTGTAACTGGGTCACACAACAACGTTCTTTTTTAGTAAAAAACTGGCGACAGCTGGTTCAACTATAGATGGGATGTCTACTTCATTATCCAATAAACTATGGTACTGTATCATACAAATAATAATGGTGTTTTTCTCCATTATTCCAATTCATGTATTTTTTATACTGTATACTAAAATCAATTTGAAATTTAAAAAAATTAACATGGGCCTTATGGGTTGCTATGCTGGTGACAAAATAATAACAAAATTAAACAGAATATCCAAACAAATTCCAATCACATGATTTATTTACAGCGTGGGGTTAAAATAGAGTAGTCTGCACAATACATACTTTTGGTCGAGTTTTCGACCATTGGCCAGCTCTAGTCAAGTAAATAACATAGTCTGAATTACACTATTTCAAAAATTTTCTTATACATCCATCAGATTAGCAAAAGCCAGTTTCCCTTACCTCTGAAATAAGAAACCATGTCCATAAACTAGGTGTTTCCCAAACATAAAAAAATCATGTTCTTTGTTCTCTGTGAAAACCTTTAAAAGGATTCCTTGATGGGAGAATTAATCATTTTTCTTAGTGATTAGACGCATTTAACCTATTGAGTAGGCATCAGTAAGTTTATTGACTTACCTGTATGTATGGGGTATATGCCAGTCATAAGGGCTGACCTGGAAGGTGTGCACATCGGCTGCACATAGTGGTTGTTGAGGATTACCCCGTTGTAAGCCAGGGCATCGATGTTCGGTGTTGACACTTGGTCTGACCCGTGGAATCCTACATCGTTCCATCCCTGGAAATGAAGAACACTGACGTAAACAATCTGCTGGGAAATGCGCAATATGTAAGGTTATTATTGTGTGTATCCAAAATTTAAATTTGGAAAATGAATTCTCATATACAAATAGTGGCAGGTATTATGAACTTAAATGAAAGAATTTTACCTTCCATTTTAACTACAAAATCGATGGATGGCTGAGTGAATAGTGCCAACAGTGTAAACATTTTTGTTTTGACAAAAATTGTGGCTTTTTGACGGTTTGAAAATAGACACAGCTGTTCTTGATCATTGGGCATTTTATGGTACTAAAGCTAAACTAGTGGCTTGTAGGGACATAAGTCCCTAAAAAGCTCAAATGTAAAACAACTTTTTGCAATACCGGTATTTAAACAAACTCAGAATAACATTATCTATGTGTCAGAATAGGCATCCCTACACCATATCTTTTGTGTAAAAACCAGTTTGTTGTTCTTCTTTGTTTGCTTTTGTTGATGTCATTTTCAATAAATAATTTGAATCACTCCAGTGGTTTAACATGAAAAGGCAGCAAACATATCATTGTTTGTGAATAAATACTGGTTTACTAAGGTAGCTTTGGTCTTGTGGTTAATGAGGATAAATAAAAGCTTCCCTGTTTGGAATTTTAAAAATTCATTGGAGGTTCACCTTCAGATGAATTGAAGACTCCTGCAATTTCATCTGCAGTAGGCTTATTATACCTACGACGATCCATATTTATCCTGTCTACAAACCTAAGTTCTAATTCACTGTCACCGTAACCATTTCTTCCAAAGCTCTTTTGTAAATTTGTGCAAATGGATTTTCTAATAGAATTTAAGCTAGTTTTGACAATATTTCAGGTTTTAAGTCACTATTTTCTCGACGCCTTTGACGAATTTCTGTTGCTGTTGATGTGTCAATAATGTACAATTGGCCATACACGGGGTCTTCATCATGTTGAGGCAGCAAATCTGAGATTGAACGATAAATCTGTCCTTGAATTTTTAAACAGTATGGTCCTTTTCCTGGAATATCTTTCTTACTGGCTGAAAAATAAGCAAAAGCCATCGCACTGTTGCATTGTCGAATGAATTTATACAGTTGTGGGCTCTCTTCAAACAAACTTTTAAGTTCTACATTAGTTTTTGACTGAGGAAGGTTAATAAGTCCGTTATGGCAACATGTCATAAAATGATTATTCGTTAGTTCTTCTCTAAAATGAAGAGCACTACATTGAATACACTCTTGGTCCAGTAATCCTGCATCATGGATCTTTACATTTCTCTCGTCTACCATGGGTCTCCTAAAAAGGGGTTGTAACATATCTTGATTAAGTTCGTCATTATCTACTCTTGCTCTCCTACGCGCACTGTCATTCCTATGAACAGTTCCCCGCCTTTGTGGTATTCCCCTGTCGTTCATATTAATTACAGTACTTATAATGAAAATAATATATATCCAGCAGCCTACATACCAAAACATCTTGAATCCCTGGTGATTTTATAAAAGTATGATCGAATATGATTACTCTACGTTGTATATTCACTGCACTAAAATATTTACTTACGAAGGAATGCAAATACACCATTTTAGAACCAATAACATTTATAGGTTATTTTAGTTGTATATATTTACACAACCTTAACCTTAAAATGTGTAGAAATATAAAGAAAACAACAGCATTGAAAATAAACTTGAACATATGATTTAAAAATAGAAACAAAACAGAAGTTAGATTGAATTTCGACTCTTTGATTATTTATACAGAATATTTATTCTATGTCGTTTATTCCTTTAACACGACAATAACGTAAAAGCATGAAAAAATGAAACTTGAGTATATGATTTAAATATAAACAAAGAATGTAGACGTTTTTCCGACTAATCTTCAATATTTCAGTTTTATTATAGTATACATTTCATAGTTGACTGGCTAAAAGTAAACCAAATGCGTGTATTGATCACTGTTTTCAAATCTGTGGCACAGCTGTTTTAATTTCAAAAGATGTAAACAAATTAAACCCCATGTTGTTTTAATGGGAAAAGTTTTATTCTGTTGCGAATTTATGGTAAAAAAAATAAGAAAAATGAATAGTTTTCCCTCAAAATTCACGTCAAGACCTTTAAAATAAGACCCCTCCCATCCTTCTACGGCCATCCAGTCACTCACAATTTCTTTACAAAAATTTGACTTACGGAATTATATCTTATAGATAAAGAGCTGATCTCAGTCAGTAAAAAAGCTACACATAAGTAGTTTGTCACAATTATACTCTCATTCTTCACTTTTTCTAATTAAAATATCCATCAATGTGACCCTGCCTAAATTTAATACTTGTCTTTTAATAATGAAAAACTTAAGAACTTAGTAAAGAAATTCAGAAAAATATCTTAATCACAAATAAATTCAATTGCAAATTTGCTGAAACGATCTAGCACAAAATGGATTTAATGCAGGAAAAATATTAAGATTCAGGAAACTCTTGGATGTAGAAGACAGACAATTTGTCCCTTGACAGCAGTTTATAAAGAGGCTTAATGTCTCTAGCACTTTCTAAAATATATTTTGACCATTCTATTTGCAAACAGTTAATTTTAAAATAAAGTTATAACCTTTCTGTGTTAACTTGTGAAAACATAATTTGCATCACTCCTTACCGAAAGTAACTATTTTCGATAACAGCTGATATCAAAGAAATTGTTGTTTCATAAGCTCTAATTTAGAGCAAGGGAAAAACGAACAGCTGATTTCCCCTCGCTCTAAATTTACTTTCCCTCGCCCTCAATTAGTTCTCTATTTATAAACTACGCGCACTAGTGTTTTGTTATGGTTTATTTTAATAATTAAAATCAGCTGTTTTCATCGTTGCACAATCTAAATCTATACAGAAACGGGCTTTAGTTTGTTTTGCTGTGTTTTTAAAATAGTGAGTGTTTAAAATTGCTCGTAATATGCCTAAGATTCATGACGATTTGATGCAAACAGCTTCAGAGGTACTGTAACTAATCACCTTTCACCAGAGAAACCACGAGAAAGGTAAGAAGGGGAAGGGAATACAGAATGTTTTAGGGCCTACCAGTGAAAATTACAAAATGTTTATTCAGTTAAAGTAAGTGATGAAGTAGTTATTAATATAATACAAACAAATCTATAATCATGAAACCATATACGTTATTAAGTAGATTTTCTTTTAATACTGAGAAATTTTATTCTGAATGTGTGTATTTTTGCGTCGTCGTGATGAAAATTATCGTTCATAACTCGTACCGAAAGCAATTTTCCGGGTCTTGCTTCATTATTCCCGTCTTTGGCTTCGCCTCGTACGTGAAAATACATCTCACATGCTCGGCTTTGCCTCGCACGTGAAATTTGGGTTTCCTGTGTTTGGTGTTGCCTCACACATGAAACTCTAGCTCGCCCCAGAAAATGCCACTTTCGGTCCTAGTAATGAAATATACTAGTTCTATAACCAATCGTGAAAAGTACTGCGGATGATCATTATTATTAAGATATTAATTTTTGCATTAAATGTTATTTTTGTGATTTTGTCCATTCAATTAGTCTTAGATACCATCTAAGATAAACAAACTAATTTGATAAGCCTACAGCAAAGATGGATGATTATTTGTTTGTCTTTAGACTTTCCAAACAACTGTTGTCTGAAACTAATTAACATGTTATAACCACGTCCATGAAAGGACTACGTTTCTGGCTACGGTTTCTGACGATTCGTCTTTTATGCAAATGTAAGTAAACGATTGATGATCGTTGAACTTGTGCTTTGTCTGCAGACAACAGACAACAGACAACGGAGCAGACAATGGCTGGGTAACCGACCGTAGCGATTTGATCTGATAACATTCAACCGCAATTAAACAGTTTTTGCGATTCAGGGTTGAGGTCGTGGTTTTCCGCTGTTCGACGAAGAATTATCGCTTAGATAACATCTGACTGCTTACCGCTTACGCACAAACTTTGCAAATCATTCTTCGGTCTTGAACATTAAATGTCTAGATTCTAGAAGAAAAGTTTTAAATTTAGTGTAACACTCGGAGCATGTAGCTAAAGTTAGTAGCTTTCCTTTGCCTGGGTTGCTCAATAGGTATTTTTGTCCTAGGACGCTAGGCCCGAGACTGGAATTGTTTTAATTACTTCAGGCTAGACCAAAGTGTTGCGGCATCATCACTTGGAAAAAATCCATTAAACCTGGGACCGAAGTCCGAAGTCCCGCGCTGTAACCACTAGACCAGCTCGCTTCCCATTCCTCAATAGGTCAGGAGCACAGAATAGGACAGTTTTATCGTTTGTAAAAATAGAGAGAAGTCTGTGGTTTTTTGATGGTTCGAAACTGGACCCAGTTGTCCCTGATAATTGGGCTTAAAATAAATTATCCTGGCTGATGAAACAGCTGATCTTGGTCAGTAACAAAGCTACACAGTTGATCTCACGCCGTTCTACACTCATATTTGGTGTTAATACGCACCTAGGTGGCGTCCCCATCTCAATTGATAGTGATAATAAAAAATGTTGAAAAACAGGTTTGATATACTACCATTGACTATTGGATACAGAAGTTGTTGTTGTATTAATAGTCAAAGATACTAGGCCTACTGTACCGCTGATTGTTGAACAAATAGTTTTTTTTTTTTTTTTTTATATATAAACGGGTGTCAGAACAAAAGAAATTAACTTAATTTTATTCATTCGTATCAGTTGTATCTTTGGCTATTGATATTCTAGACATTCAATCTCCATGTTATAAAGTTATATTAGTTGTCGTCAGTTTTTTTAGCAAAATCGTCGTAGTTGATGTGAGCCACCAAAAGATTGTGCTAATCTAAAATACTAATTTATGTCGAATACACTTTTTTATCAAGGCAAACTAATGGAATGACTTGTTGTGAGCTATGCAACTGTTATGTCCTATCAATCTGGTCAGTGACAAAAGATAAGGTTTAAAATATAATTTTAGACACTAGCAAACTCTGTGATTGGCTCACACAACTACGTT